CTTCAGCGCACGCGCCATGCGTCGGAAGCAAGATCCGGTCGACGCTGAGTGGTGCGTGATGGCTTCCTGGCTCAATGGTAGCCGGGGAAGAAGAGTCTCTCTTCTCCCTCCTCGTCCTCCTCGTCCTCGCTAACCATCCAGTCCTCCTCCTGGACCAGATGGACTGGGCGATGCTGGTTCTCCCATGCTAGGCCTATGCGTGGCGCGGCTTCCTCTGGGACCACTTTCAAAGCCAGGTAGTCACTCGCGACGTGTACGATCGTGAAACCCGGGTTGAGGCGGCGGAACTTCAAAATGTCGTGGAAGTAGTGGTGCCAGGAGGCATAGGCGACCTGTTCGCCTACAGGCCCGAAGATGAGGCGCGGTGTGGCGTGCGCGGGCCTGCCGTTGCGCCGGTGGCCTAGTGTCTGGTGCACCCTGGCTACGGCGGTGGTAGCGACAGCTGCGGCCGTCGGGGTGCACGGCCTGACCGTGGCGACGAGCGGCGTTGCCTGCACGCGGCTCCGGCACGGGCATAGCGCACATTGCGTGCACAGCGTGACGGCCGTGGCGGGGGCGTTGCTGGTCGATTGTCTTGCGACAGCGTCGGCGAGGATCGACGGCGGGAGTGACGGCGTAGCGGCGGCGGTCGACGGCGGCTGTGGCGTCGTCTCGGCGGCGGCGGGCTTGCAGTACCGCTTGTGGGGCGGTTCTCCCTGCGCATCCCGCGCCGTTGTGTGCGCGCGGTGCCTCCGCGTGCTGACCTGGCTGAGCACCGCCTGCAACTCCTGCGTCCACTCTTCTCTGCTGATGCTCATGGTGCTTTAAAAGACGCTAGGTTATTCCACTGTGATACATAATATATAAGACATCACACGTAATACATACTACTGTCATACATAATACGGAAACGGTGGTTAGTGGCACTCAAAACATAGCGTGCGTACAACAACAAACGTACATATATGTGTAACGATGTTGTTCGTTAGTGATCTATGACTACTGGCGATCTATGGCTAGGCACCGGTAAGGGTGGGTAGGCAGGTAGATACGAGGATGGGAGAACGCAAACCAACATACAGACATCAACTATGATAGTAACGTACCACACTGGCGTTTATTGTTGGACATGATGCAAGTCGCTAACAGGCACGGGGTATGAGATACGAGCTATTGGAGATGAACAAGAGTCAGTCTGAAGGACAGTCAGGTTCTCCCGAGCTCGGCTTGAGTCTTCGCTTTTAAGCCCGTCCGTAATTGGTCACCATAAAACCCGCGCCTTCGTGACACGTTTCTCACGACGCGAGTTTCTCACGGCGCGACCTCGCGAGCAGGTGGTCCTCCACCTGCGCCTCGCCTCCTTTGTCGCACCTAGGTGACACAATCGGGATTCATTCCCGCGACGGGCGAGCTCGGGTGTAGCCGGTGTTTATGCACCATAAACACGGCTTCATTCTCGCGACGGGCGAGCTCGGGTGTAGCCGGTGTTTATGCACCATAAACACTCCTCGCTACATATGCATTCGAACCCTGTGAGTTAGTGTGCCGTAATGACGCGACGTAACAATTCTGTGTGACACATACGAGTGCGTTAGACGTGAGACATATAGTGTAATAGAGTAATATAGTGCATACATTGTGATATAATAAACATTTAGTGCTTTATCGTGAACATATTGACCGAAAAACCACACGTACATAACTATTACTACACTACTACTACTACTACTACTATTACTACTATTACTATGTGAACACTAACAAGATTACTACTCGCGTGTAATTTGTTAGCGGTCTGCGCCGCGTATCACGTACGATCGGAATACAAGGTTATTGAGAGAGAGTCGACTCGTATGTCAACTCCGCGCGCGTATCGCGTACAAACGTAAGAAGTTACCTTAGGATGCAGATCGATCACGAATCACTCGGCGGTGTAAAGATCCTGGGAGATAGAGCGTAGGAGAGGGAATCTCCCGGCCCTACACTGTTAGGACGTCGATGCTAGCACTTAAGTGCCAGCATCGACCCAGCAATGAACGTGTACTAGCCCGCGTGCTCGTAATTGCATCACTCCCACGGCAAAGCGCCGGTGGGCTTTCCTTATACACCCCTATGGCCACAGATATAGACTATAGTTATAGGCATACTTAGATGTTGCTTTTACGCTACTACACATGATCCATTCCTGGGACACATGTACTCATAACTGTAGCGTGGAATATCGTATCGTAGACAGTAGACCATAGATAGTCGAAGTAGCAGTGATGTAAATGGTAAACAACTAGTTTTATTCTAAAACACGGATAGCAACAATGAACACACATATCAAGTTGTAGTCGGTGACTCTTCACATTACACACTACATTTTACCTTCACATTAAATCTGACATTGTACCTTCACATTACATCTCTCTCTATATATATCTTTATTTGCTTTTATATTTTATTATAATTTTTTTTCTCTTGTTATATATAAATGTAACAAATGCGTGGCGGTGCGTCCACCTACCCAGGTTCGTCGGCGCGGGCGAGTCATATCCGTCGTCTCGGTGTTGTCTACGGCGGAGTCTCGCCGCGCCGAGGAGGTTGTGCGCCACGCCAATGGCGCCTCCCTCCACGACTCGCATGATGCGATATGGCATTTGGGGCCCCCCTATATAGAAGTCGAGCGCAAGTGCCTGAGGGTCCCACCTTACCCACAGGAAGGGGAATTGCATCCTCCATGCACGGTAGAGTTCCCCCCAGTCGATTAATGGGGAGTATCGCTCGGAGTGCGCGCTATTTAAATCCGAATCATCGCGCACAAAGAGGTCGGCGGGCGCCCGGTACGAGACGATCGGTCTATCCAAAATAGGGGCTAGAATTATTCGGTGGTCGTCTGCGGCCGCCCCTTCCCACCACGAAGTTGAAGCCGCCGTCACTCCCGGTGGGGGCAGAGGTATGCTCCCACGTATGAGTGACTGGCAGGCCGTCACACTAGGCGGGTGTGGGACATTGGCAGAAACCAGCCGATCAGCTAGCAAGCAGGCCACGATGCCGTAACCTTCTGCTAGCAGGGCTCGCATGATGGTCATATACTCTGGGAGGGTCAGATGCGACCCCCACAGGAATTCCTCATTTGCGATCGTCCTTCCCAGATGTGCGGACCAGGGGTTCCCCTCGAGCA